CCAAAGATAATCAGCTCGAGCCTGCACTGCACAAGCCGAAATCGCTGAAAGAATGATGGATCCCACAAGTACAGGTCATCGCCAAACCTCAACCTTATATTGTGGAGTTCAACATCTCTGTGCTACGTGGTCATTCAAAATGAAAATCGTTTTACTTAGTACATTTCGAACGATTTTCCGGTAGGTCGACCGGCGTTCACAGAAATTCCACCTGAAATAACAGCGCCGAATTGCGTATTCGGAACTAATCATTATTGGCATGGCAAAATCTCACAATCAGAAAAGGCAACATTTTGCCTCGATTCTTACGACGTTGAAGGCGAAGAACCGAATCGGATCGTTAGCCAGACAATACTTTAATATAGGTGTTCACTTCAATTGTCGCTTCCAATGTGATCTAAGGTTGATCGATGGACAAAGGTTTGTGCTGGCAGTGGTGAACTTCATACAGCCGCAACTGTATTCATATAGTACCCCGCAAAACAGACAAGGGGTAAGTAGACTAGGTTGTGGTCTTCGGAGGGGCAGCGGTCTATTTCTCCCACGAAGTACGTTTTTGAAGCTGATTTTTACTTGTTTAGGCTTTGAATGTGGTCCAAAGAACGATAACCCCGCAAGAGTGCCTTGCTACTTGCGGGTTTCCTTCCCCACTCGACAATCCTTCGTATGTACTTGTAGAAAATACCTTGTATGGTCCACTGATTCGAGTCAGTGTTTGATACTCCATTTTGTTGTCAAGATTCATTGTCAACCCAATAGGAGTGATCACGGGAATACCCTGAAGTAACTCGAATCGAAGCTTGAAATTTTTCCACAGATTTCTTTCAATTTTTTTTATTACAGACAGCTATACATTCACCGCCGAGCATGGCCAGTTTGAGGAGAACGGGATGGCAGCTGTACGACAGTAACATTTTCGTCTCTTAAATGGCACGGAAATAATACTGAAGGCAACCGGGTGCCGCTCCTAACTCTATCCTCAAGGCGCAGCACTTGTAAAAAAGTCGCGCCGCGACTTCACAGAGGTAGAGACAATTAGTTGTGAGACGGGGCAGACAACTGGCGCGTTTGGCTTTAGTTAGGCGTACGGCCGGTCGCGCGACAGCGTGAATGATGTCTGGAACGGCACCCGTGTATCACAACCTTCCATCGCCATACCCATGCATATTCGAACAGAGAAGTTGGCACGTTAATACATCTGCGGACCTGTTCTCCCTACACATAGCAGGGAGCAGGATCCACGAAGGTATTCTCGTCATCCGGGCAGTTGATTAGGGCGGTCGTCAACGGGCCGCAGCGCGTGCCAGGAACTATTTGCTTTTTCCAGGCTAATTTAGTCATTTTTTCCACCTTGTAAAGATAAGGAGCTGCTAATCTGGGAAAAAGTACCAAAACAATGAAAAGTTGGAAAAAATGACCAAATTAGCCTGGAAAAAGCAAATAGTTCCTGGCACGCGCTGCGGCCCGTTGACGACCGCCCTAATCAACTGCCCGGATGACGATGGGTAAGTGTACAATTTGTCTCCAGAAAGTTACTGAAAGCTGCCAAACTTACATTGCTGTCATCATCTTGCCAATAGGGACACATTCGAGCAACTGGAGCAAGAGCGTATACAAATGCGTAGCCAATTATGCAATCCAAACGATTCTAAACAAGAAAAATAGTAGGGTAGGAACGTCTGGAGTGTCGTGTATTTATGCTTACAACAACTATGTCATCGATTTCTCTTGAAAGAGTGTCGGAGATATTGGTCGTCCCAGAGCTTTCTTCAGCTGACAGTTCCAACTGGATCTAGTCTGCCTATTCTCTACTCATTACACTGGGCCACACATTCCACTTACCAGGGAGGTCGTTCAGTACGTGGAGTTTTCAAAAACGGTTTTTTGCATGGTGTGAGGCCACGTTCATGGAGTACCAAACTAACGTTCATTTTTCCTACGCTCCTCTGAGTATACCCAAAAAGCTAAAAAAAGTGCATTGAAACGATTGCTTTTTGAGCCTCTATGGGCTCAGAATCACCTACATTTTTGGATAGTTGCTGACTGAAGGGTACATGAAGGTACCGTCGGAATCGAGGAGAAAAATAGTCGCAAACGGGGTCTTGGTGACACATGATTAAGAGTGAACGGCTACTGGGAATGGCTTCTTGAAAGATCGGAGCGGTATCCAGGTACAACGATGGGGTGGCCTAGTGGAGAGCTTGGAGGATTCTCAAGCGGACAGTGCGGATGGGCTTGATGGTTTGAATCCCCTCGCTTTGCGAAATTTTGCATTTATCATGTTTCGCTGGTTTCGGTTCCACATATGTCTGTGCGTGAGTACAAGATGAATATTTGCCATTTATGGGCTCACTCCAAATAGGTATACCTCCATGAGTCGGTGCTATTCAGCAATTTCTATTTTCACATACCAATGAGCAAGACTTTTCCTGAAAGTTTACGTTTATATGTTATTCAGGGCCCTGATCACGGCGATGGCACTTACTTTCAGCTGTGGTGCCATTTAGCGCCAATTTGGAGCCACATACTTCTTCCACTGGGCTCGTTATGCACACTCACTCAAGAGACTTCTAGGACCATTTCTGACGCCAAATTGCGTCGACGCTGGAAATAAGTGTCAGTGTCGTGATAGGGACCACCGATTACCCCTATGGGCGGATTTTTGACCAAAACAACTTCACTGACTTTTTCGGGTTGGGGTAGACCATTTGGTCGGCTATGACGACTGGAGTCTCACCCTGGTAGTAGCGATGACGTAGCGATGATGTAGCGGAGCGGCCAGGCAACCGTATCGTGAAGTTGGTGCGCATAACGTCCTTTTATTCTTGGCATAAGCCTGGGTGGCCGCAGAATACGTGAAAAACCATTCTAGTCGTTTCTGCTCGCTAAACGAAGATGTTGCCCTCCCCTACACAGAGAAGTGACCCACTGTATTTTGTCCACTTTTTTCAAATGTGTCTGAAGTAGTGATAACCTCTTTCTTATTCCTCTCTATGACACTTAGAATTGTTGCTGATTTTAGTTTCAGTACCAATGAATGGGAAGGTTTCGGCAGCCAAGAAAAGTACGACTTCTACAATGACTCTTGAGCACAACCCAATAAACCCAAAAGAATTAAAAAAATTTCTCGGTTGACAGTTAGTCTAGAGGGGTAATCGGTGGTCCTGACCAGGACACTGACACTTCTTTTCAGAGTCGACGCAATTTGGCGTCAGAAATGGTCCTGGAAGTCTCTTGACTGAGTGTGCGTAGCGAGTCCAGTGGGAGATATTTCTATATCTTGCGTATATATATGTGGCTCCAAATTGGCGATGAATGGCACCACAGCTGAAAGTAAGTGCCATGGTCGTGATCAGGGCTCTGAATAACACATAAACATCAACTTTCAGAAAAACTCTTGCTCATTTGTATGTGAAGAAATTGCTGAATAGCGCCGACTCATGAGGTATACCTATTCGGAATGAGCTCATAAATGGCAAAAACTCATGTTGTCACGCGCAGACATATGTGGAACCGAAAACAGCGAAAAATGAAAAATGCGAAAACTCGCGAGGCGAGGGGACTCGTATCATCAACCCCACCCGCACTGTCCGCTTGAGAATCCTCTACGCTATCCACTAGGTGATCCGACCGTTGCACATGGATACCGCTCCGATCGTTGAAAAAACCATTCCAAGGAGCCGTTCACTCTTAATCACGTGTAACCAAGACCCCTTTTGCGACTATTTTCTTCTCGATTTCAATAGTACCTTTATAAGGACCCTTCACTCAGCAACTGATCAAAGTTGTAGGTGGTTCAGAGCCCATATAGGTTCAAAAAACCCCTCCAAATCCTACCACTGGCCTCGAAGTGCGGCGAACGGCATACGAAGGGGCGAACGGGATTATCCCGGCCAGTGGGTAGATACCACCTCAAAGAGTTAGCTGCCCGAGGATTGGTAAAGAAGCAAGCTACAATACGCACACATAGAGTTCGGAGCGGCACAGAAGGAAGCACGAGCTCCACGTGCACTGGAGCAAATGGCGACCTGAAGGGACCTGCAGACAAAAACCGCTGCAGGATTTGGAGTGCACGGACGAAAAGCTTTCGAGGCACGGGACTGTCTACGAGTCTGCACTGACAACCGTCGCACCATTGCCTCGACAGCCGACCGAACCATATTGTTGGAAGCTAGTAAAAGACTTCGTTTCAATGTCATCGCTCCACGAAACAAAAGCAAAAGAAACAGCTACCAGGAAGACCAACGATGGCCCTAATTGTTCTCGGAGCCGTATTGAGTGGAAGAAATGTCGGTGGTGTTGGATTCCTCGTCCACCATCGGCTCGAGCACATGGCCGATTCAGTCGAAGTGACGGCCGCGACTGGCCATCCTACGTCTACGCATCGACAAGCGCACTTTCGTTAGTATTATCAACTGCTATGCACCGACATCAACAACTACCGACGAAGAAAAGGACGCGTTCTACAAGGAATTAGAGGAGATGATAAAGCGGGAACGGTCCTACTACAAATATGTTGTCGGAGAGTTTAACGCAGTCATCCATGAGGAAATGCCAGCGACAGCGCGCATCGGACCACACGGAACCGGAGAAACAAACGAAAACGGCGAAAGTCTGATGGACTTCTTAGAGCAATGCAATCTTTTTTACGGAATCAGTTTCTTCACGAAAAAAGAGGATCGGTGATGAACGTAGGAGAGTCCGAATGCAACGACAACGACTCACAGCGAAATCGACCACGTTCTCACTAACAGGAAGTGGAGTCTGCTCGATGTCAGCGTGGTGAATGCATTCCGCACTGCGAGCGATCATAGGCTGGTTATAGCAAAAATTCTCCGAGCGAGAATCCGAGGACGCGACTTCTTCCGACCCCTCCCATACGGTTGCCACATTACGACACAAACGCCATGTAGACGGCCGCAGCTCATTACACGTAGCAGGAGGCGCAAGACTTGTCGCAAGACTATACCATGCTCATAGAAGGACTTCGACATTGCGCTATGGCATCGGCTATCCCAAGAAGGACGGGATCGAGTGGCAGGATTGACGACAAGGCTCGCGCACTTCTACAGCAACGCGCTGTCGGCCATCACAACCCTGCATCAACACCATTGGAGCGCGCCGTAATCAATAATCAATAAAGCGTGCCGCATCGCAGTGATGGAGTCGATTCAGCGCTACAAGAATACTCGACTGAAGGAAGCAGCGGAAGCGAGAGCTAGTCTCAAACGATGTCATCAATACATCAACGACTCTCGCTCGGTCACCACGGTTATGCGAGACGCGATGGGCAGACCGCACACATCGAGAGCGAAGATTGAAGAGATCGTCGTCAATTTCTACACGGATCTCTACCGATCAACGATGCCAGTTTCACGCATACCTACACCCACGCAGGACCCACAGATCGAAGAGTGGGAGGAGGAACACGCCTTGCGTCAAATGAAGCCGGGGAAGGCACCAGGACCTGATCGCATCTCAGTAGACTTTCTGAAGTCGGCGTCTTGCACCGTCATAAAACAGCTCACCAATTGTTACAGCTTAGGCGCCATAACAGGTCCATGGACGCGCAAGAGATTCCGGACCAATGGAAGACGTCGAGCACGGTTCTTCTGTTCAAAAGGGCGAGCGTGACCTGATGAAAAACCACCGCCCCATCGCCCTCCTCTCGCAGCCATACAAGCTGTTTACGATGGTGATCCTCAACAGGCTCGAGAAACAACTGGATGAATACTAACCAGTGGAACCGGCCGGGTTTTGCAAGGGCTTCTGTTGCATGGACCACATCCATACTGTCACGCAGTTGATCGAGCGAACCAAGGAATACGAGCAGCCGCTCTTGCTCTGCTTCATCGACTATACGAAAGCATTCGATAGTGTGAAAGTGAACTATATTTGGAATGCGCTTCACCATGCTGGTGTCGACCCATGCTACATAAACCTGCTGGAAAAATGCACTATGGACACATCTACCACTATCCGCATTTTTCAACGAGAGCTGCGAGGGCCGATCGAAAAAGGAGTCAGACCAGGTGATACGATTTCTCCCAAGCTGTTCACCACCGCACTCAACCACGCGATGCTGCAACTCGACTGGGACGATAAAGGCATCAACGACGATGGAAAAAAGCTATCTAATCTACGATTCGCAGACGACATTGTCTCTATCAGTTAGAACTCAGCAGAGCTACAGCGGATGGTGGAGGAACTGAACAAAGTCGGCAAAGCTATCGGCCTTGCGATGAACCGGAGCAAGACCGAGGTCATGGCAATGAGTGGGCAGATGCGTTACCCTTCACACTCGAAGGCACTGCTCTACCGTATACCAACCGCTACGTATACCTTGGTCGGCTCATCTCCATGGACAATAATTTGCGCGAAGAAATTATGAGACGCAAAAAATGCGCTTGGACGGCAATGGGACGCATAAAAGAGGCGGCCCAGCTCATTTCGGATAGGAAAATACGAGCTCTGTTCGACTCTACAGTACTGCCTGCTCTTCGTTACGCATCCGAGACGTGGGCGGAGAACAAGGCGTCTACGCTGGTGTTGACACGTGCCCAACGAACATTGGAACGGACCCTGCTGAATATCAACCGTCGTGAGCAGAGATGTCGCAATCTGCACAGTATAGACATGCGCTCAGTGGGGCATCCTTGATGCCGTAGTATACGCGAGGAATGAAAAGATGGGCCGGACATGTGGTCAGACGTACGGACGATCGCTGGACCACGCGCATCACACTCTGGTATCCGAGAGACGCGAAGCGCAAGGTTAGCCGCCCTTCAACCCGTTGGAGAGACTCCTCAAAGCAACTCCAAGATTTTGCAGACCAACACTTGGTCCCAATCGCCCAAGATCGCAAACATTGGAGGGAAGCGTGTGCTCGTCGCTGAAGAGAATCGGCTGAAGAACGAGCGTCCAAGTATCCAAGTAAGTAAAGGCTTGAAAAACAGTCGGTTTCCATGCACTTCTTTTCGCTCCCTTTTTGGTATCCTCAGAGGCGTAGGAAAAATGAAGTTAGTTCGGTACTCCATGAGCGTGACCCACACCATGCAAAAAACCGTTTTCAAAAGCCGCTCCACGTCCTAAACGACCTTACTGGTCAGTAACAGCAGCAACCACGTAATAAGAATGAATTGTAAGAATTCATGAAAAAGGAGGGATAGTTTCCGCTGGCAGTAAAGTGCAACTTGGGCTAATTTACTTAGGATCAACAATACTTTAGTGATCGACAACAAGCTTAATTAACTTATAGAGATACACCTCAAAGGCGAGCGGAAACATTGTGTTTTCCAGAATGCGTTCTTCAGAGCAAGGTCAAATATCACGTTACATAAAAAGCACTGTTGGTGCAAGCCTCCTCTCCAGGGGAAAGTGTCCGTGCAACCTCGCTTTTCAAGCTGTCGATGAATCTGGCCAGTATCTACGGTAGCTGCGAGAGTAGAGCGCTGCATTACCCCTCTGGACCTCCATAAGGCGCCACTCCTCGAAATTTGCGTGACCTCATTCGCGGACAATCTTTTGCCAAGCGGTGAGCAGATTTTTGTTTTCTGTGAAAAGTATATAGAAGCATAGTTCGCAGGGCTGCTCTATACCTCAACTAACTCGGAAAATTCTTGCTCAACGCTAGCTTTTCACTTCTCAATAGATACATCTTTGTTTAGACATGACGTATACGGAAGCCTACAATCTTTTTTACAGCTCAAAGATTTTCTCCCCCAGTAAGCACAAGAACTTTGTCGTGTATCGGCTATAGCAAAAACTCGCCCGTCGCTGATTCTGCTTGAAGGTCTGACTCAGCTGCAGGGAAAGGGTCCCCCAACTTTACAACCCACATTTCCATCCAGAAACCTAGTGGGGCTTTCAATAACACCTCTGCGTCTTCGTGAACAACAGGGAATGAGGCTTAGTATCGTTGATAAGATACTCTATGGACTGCGCCGCATCTTAGGAGCGCAGCCAGTTAGATATATTCCATGCAATATAGTCCTAATATAGACCTGATAACCCTTCGGATCTGCTACTGGTTTCCTTGTTCAGACGTGACTTACTATAATCTGGATACATTTACAGTGAATCATTTGTCATGATTTCCAACTCGACATAGATACCACGTTCCACGCCAAGGTGCGAAACCAAGGCAGTGCATCACTAACGTTGCCTTTATCAAGTTCATTATTGACACCTTTCCCTACCCCACGTTACATGACTCCACGTTGTGGATTGGACGAGCTTGACCATGCTCTTGAATTCTCTAGAGTGCATTTGTACATAGCTCCAGCTCCATATTTGCTTAGATATGTACGAATAAGTGAGCCAACGCCAGGTAGCTAAAACAACCTAGTGACGTCTCCTTCGGAATGCTTGTCCATCGGAATTTGGTACTTGAAGTGTATGGCTTATTCACAGGACTTCTCACTAATTATCAACCATCATTTTCGGAACGGCAGAGCTTTGATTTCTCGTGGACCAGAACATTTTTCGTGTTGGTTGTGGTCCACGCAATATGCTGACAGGCGAACACCAATTCCCCCTTGAATTCATTACGGCTTGTTGCTGGAACGCCTTTAAAATAACCTCCAAATAATCCAGTAGCTCTTAAATGACGTGCAACAGGGCTTTGGCTTAAGAAGATGCTTGAGAAAGTTGCCACTTGGCTGAGACCATCGCAGGTCAATGAGCTCGGATCTGTCTTCAACGCTTAAAGGGTGGACAAGTCGTCTCAAGAGGCTGTTTCCCCTCGGTTTTGCTGACCGACCTGTCTTCACTACGCTTCCTCGGCTCGGTGACTGCTGAATACAAAGCACTATCAATACCCCATTAACTGGAAAAATAATTCCGCTGGGACTTGTCTATAGGAGCAATTCGGTGTACCGATCACGAATATGGCATTCAATTATGGCGCTGGCGCCGCTTGGCGCCTTCGACGCAACGCAACTGATTTTGCCACCTTTTTCATGAAAATCGATGAAACCTTGTGTACGGATTATTTGACAACTCGATCACAGTTTATATCACCGCGACCTGTCTGGTCGGTTCCCATTTGCGGCCTTCTCACCAGTGACTGATTCCTTCGCACATCGATCATTGCTCGATCACCATTGGCAGAGCAAGGCAGCCGGACGCGAGCTCGTGCCGCGCTGCGCACCCCCGATGAATTGCAATGTTACAAACTATACAGAAATCACATCCGTTAGCCGGCGCCATTCGGAGCTTTTTTGTTTTATGAAAATCGATGAAAGCTTTTGTACTGAAGACTTGAAACCTTGATTGCGATTATGACATTCATTCTCGGCGCTGGTGCCACTTGGCGCCAAAAAGGTATCGGTGCCTGACCCACAACACCAACGTCTCCACCAAAACTGATACAAACTTGCATACTAGTATTATTTCCCCCTTAAATTCATTGCAACCATGTACTCACGGTTGATATGCATGGGGTCGTGACCACGAATGCTACCTCACTCTACTGCGACATCGTCTTTTAGCGCTCTGCAAGGCTGGTCGTGACTGGAGGAGTGGTCTTCTTTCCTAGGTTCAACCTACGCAGGACGCAAATGGCCAAAGTGCCCTGAACCAGCGCTGGCGCCAAAAATGAATGCCATAATCTCAATCAGGATGTCAAGGACGTCAAATAATCTCAGAATACAAGTTTCCACCGATTTTGCCGAAGAAAGTGGCCTTGCCAATGTGGCGCAAAGTGGCGCCGACCCTAAAGACGAATGTCTTTTCGGAACGAGACCTCGATTACCCCAAGATGCAAATTTGTAAGTAGTTTATTGTAAAAACCGGAGCACCGAAAACGAAATTCTCATCCATAATCAGGATGTTAAACTACCCCAGTATACCTGTTCACATCGAACCCCCGTGAAATTTTTTTGGTTGTCGTGGAAAAGTGATGGCTACACATTATACCCGAGGGCGCCATGGCGTCAGCGCCAAAAAGACGTCATCTTCGTTATCAGGGCACGGGATAACCCCATTAGCGAGTTTAACAATTTATTTTTCGAGATTCTGGGACACTTAAATTCAACCATTTATTTTTCGAGATTCTGAGACAGAATAGTACTGAAAATATTAGGTTGGAAAGAAAGTCTGCAACATTTTAGCCAAATTTTTGAACCGAATTTTCCTTTACTTCAAGGCACCTTCAATCTACAAGGTAACCACCATTAATGCCGGGACTAGTGCCCACCTTTTGCACACATTCTCATTCTCACTCCTGTAGTACTAGGGCAACTACGACAAAAAAAGAAGAGGTAGACCTCATTTCCGAGTAGACGTTGATTTTCGGAATTCTTACTATCTAAAGAATGCAGTAGGGATCAAAGGAGGTGGTAATTAGAGGTTGCTACAGTCGCGGAAGAAAACTCGGAACAAGCCCAAAGCTGCGCGCTTTTCAACAGTTTTACCTACAATTTTAAAATTGTATGTGGAAACTTTGTTTACTCAAATCAAGTATGCCTAAAGAGATTATTCTAAAAAACCAGTCGGATCGCCCGGCTAACGCCGAGCTCTCCTCCTTCTTGGAAGCCCGGCTGCGCCGAGCTCATGCAACTGCTTTAGAGTGGTGACTAATCGCTGTCTTCTAATCAAATGAATGTAGAAACGCGCCATATGATCGCAGGGCACTTTCATAATGAAAAGTTCAAAATCTGGTCATGGATAATCGATTACTCTCCTCCCCATCTCATGACAGCCATGGATGCTTCGATCTCCGCAGCCGCTGCGTGCTCCTGTTCAGGCGAGCGTCGGTCGCGCCAATATGGTATCCCTTCACCTCACCTATCCCCAAACTAACCTCAGCTATTCCCCGCTCAGCCACCCTACAGGTCACGCTCAGCTGCTACGCGAATAGGCCGTGCAATGGTTTGAAGTGCAGCTAAATAGTTGTTTATGTTGTGGAGGGTTGACTATCAAAACGCTACCACAATTTGATAACTGCAACATTAATCGGTTCAGTTCCGACTGCGGTCGATCCATTTTCTTCCATCTCATCGCAACCGGTAGCCGCCTTACGCCGCAGGCGCTATGTGCTCCTAATCGCGAAATCGCCGTTCTCATCTGGTATCCCCTCACCGACATCATATCCCAGTAACCCTATTTAAACTGGCGCCCACTCCACACGTGATGCAGCCGCCATGAGCATCTGGTGCAACATGGAGACATTACGACGCCACTGTTTCTCCACCGCCTTGCTCGTGCTCACGTCCAGCTCCCAAGCGCAGCTCCTGCAATAGCAACAGAGTCTATGCAGCAGTGATTGGCTTAGATAGGGGAGCTATTCAAAATCCAAACAGCTTCTAGTTCGTTGCTGTAAACATGGATTAGCTTGCAGTTTTGCTAGGGTTCTTTCCTTCTGTCTTTGCCGCCTGCTCCTATCCAATAGCACGCTACGCATCCCCTTACTGTACCCAGTTTCGCCGATTCAATCCGTTATGCCTCTCTCCCTGCATGGCTCAGATCCGCCTGAGTACGCGCCAGGAAGTGAGGATGGGAGAAGGGGTCACTCGATACTAACTCCCACTTCCTCACCTCACCCATTCCGTACTCGCCACTTGTTCCCTCATCCATTGCGCGTTTCTACTGAACGCGCGCGACTGGCACACCCTCACTGTACCCCGCCCTCCCCCGCGACCCCTTCCCTCTGCCTCCCT